ACTGGGTTTTAGCTCAAACCCAGGACAGGTGGTTATCCAGGATTTTTTTAATACATACATGTTTTTAATATTTGCGATGTCTTGTGCTGAAGGTTCATGATTTTGGCATGTTTCAGTACATCCTTGCTTTTGAAGTGTTTTATTATTCAAGGTGGTGTGTCATCCTCTACACTTAATCTTTTTCTTAATCATTTAAGTAGCTTGAATCTTCTTGAAAGGAAGGATACGTGACAGTTTGGCTTATTCACTTTTTTGGAATTGGCAGCTAGAACAACAGTGGTGTAAAAACAAACAATCAAAAATTAAAGTGAGAAACAAAATACTTGTGTATCTCTCTTGCAGATGACTTTTTAGCTGCTTTTGTTCTACAAAGTGTTTGAAAGAGTACACATTTCAAGTAATGTGTAGTTTGTCAGAAGGAGGAAGAACTGTTCTGTTTGTATCATGTTGAAAAGAAAATATATTTTTATTTCTAAACTAACCCTAGAAAAAGTATATGGTCACTTTTGATATTATTCTTTGGCTCAACTTGGTAAGTATTTTGGCATTTGGGATCACTGGTGGTTAGTATTGTTTCTACAATACTGATCTGCTTCCATATTATTTTAGATAGCACTCAGAATTATTATTTTTTAAATTCTTGTTTAAAGTTACATTATTTTTTTAATAAACAAAACCCAGGCTTTAGGTAAGAAGTTGCTTAATGATATTAAAGATCTTTTAAAAAAGTGTTCAGTTTAAAATATTTTAAAGCTTGACAGCAAAGCTTTGTGGCACTGTTGAAAGGGGCAAAGAATTATAAACTAACACAGGAAACAGCAGAGCTGATTTTAGTCACTGTAGTAAATTTTAGAAATAGCTTTTATAATTATATTGAAGGGTTTTATGAAAGATGATGGATAACTTTGAGAAATAAGCTGAAAATTAGTGCTGCTCTCTAGTGCAAGAATGAAGAGGAACATAAAGGATTTATCCTTTGTGGAAAAATTTCCTATGGAGAACAAATGTGTAGGCCTTATGGGCTGTAAAAGCTAACCTTCCTACTATTTAAGTTATGCCATAAACTAGCTAGAACATTTTCTGGTTTTTGTGACATACCTGAAGATTAATTGGGGTGTTTAATGAAAAATATTTTTTTTATCTTTTGATTAATGAGCTTAGTCATAATATTCCATCTTTATGTAGTTATTAATGCTGTATCAAATTAGCGTATAAATAAGCATGATTTGATTAGGGCATTATCAGGGAAGAGGTTCTATGAAATTGAGATTTAATATCTTCCAGCCTGCTGGAACAGTGTCTTTGCAAAAAAGAAATTCTTCTATCATATCTTATTTTTTCCTTATTTTTATAGAAAACCATGAGCATCTTTTTAAATGTGTTTGGCTCCTGTTACAACAGCGTAGGAAATAGTAAGGAACAATTTATATATCTAACAAAAATTGAATATTTTGAAACTTTGCTTTAACTTCCTATGCAAGGCAAGCTAATGTTGTTGTTTTGTTGTATGCTGAGCAGCATCAATCTTCTGATTTGGCTACAATGCCAAGTACAAAGCCTTTAATTGTGAAGGTATTACTTTGAAGAAGTCGTTTGTAACATATAACACAAGCCTTGCGCAATAATTTTCTTACTAGAAGATGTGTATTGCAAATGCTTCAATTATTTCAGGGCTTTTAAAGTGAATGTATGCAGTAATATACTTAAAACATAATCTATGGTTTTTTACATAACTGTCTGATTATGGCAAAATGTAGACATTGATGTCAAGTCTTTATCTTATTTTTGTGAGGAATGAATGTGTATTTGAAAGTATGTTTTTCAGGTACCATTCCCTTAATTCTTTTATGCTCTATAAAGGCCAATTCTTTTGAACGGGAATTTGGTATAAGGCAGAGCTTTTCACATGCCTGAGATTCATAAAAATAAGCATGTTTTCCATAACTTTATTTTTCACAGGTGTTTGTCACATTTGTTATATATAAAGCTCAGTGAATCTTTTGAGATGTTAAACGTTCTGCAAAATTGTATAATACTCCTGTGTGTTTATGTTTACAGGCTGTACATCTGGCCCAGGCAAGTTTCCAGATTGAGGCCTTTGGCTCCATATTCATCCTTGACCTCACATTGAATAAGTAAGTGCACAATTTGAGGTTTCTTTCTTTCCTGCTCTTACTGTCTTTAACTTATGACACAAGGTCAAGGCATGTGAAATCCCATGATCTGTGGAAAAAATATGTTGTTATCCAAGTTTATTAATACAAAATAACATTTAGCCTTTTTAAAGCAAGGTAACTGTTACCCTTGCTGACACCCATAACGTATATACCTTTAAAATTTTGTTTTTCCAGTACCAGTAATGTTTGAAAGGTATGGATTTTCTTGTGCGTTTTTTAACTTATTGATGAACTGTTATACAGATGTTACTTTAGTTGCTCAAGTCATTATGCAGGAATATTGTCAATACTTGTATGAATGGCTCATCTTTAATGATCTGGAAAATATGCTATTGTCACTATAATTATGAAGTTTCTAATGAGGTGGGAATTCTAAACATTTGGCTGTACTGAAAGGTGCAGCTGGAGTTTGTTTACCGGTGAGATAGACAATTTTACATAATTGTCAGGCCTAGAAGTTCATAGAATCATAGACTGGCCTAGGCTGGAAGGGACCTTAGAGATCATCTAGTCCAACCTCCCTGTTTTGGGCAGGGATGCCACCTGGCAACACATGGGGGCCGAGCGGGAATTGAACCCACGACCTTTGTGTTGGTCCTTATTGCCAGCACCACACTCAAACCACTGTTCTGGCTTGTAATATAGGTTGTTGGTGATTTAGCTGTTTGTATTGCACCTACTTATATTCCCAGCTGAAGATATGGTAATACGTATTTTTTCTAAATATTGTGATGTTCTTTTTTGCACTGGAAGAAATTTATACTGAGAAGGCTTAAGAATAAGGTAGAAGTATAAAATTAGTACTAAATGCTGGACAAGTAAAATTATCTGCAGTATTGCTTAAAAGTGCATTTGCCCCTTTTGCTGCCCGTGTGCCTTTCAGCACACTTAAAGGAGAAACAAATGTACAGACACTTCCTCTCCATTTTCCCACACTTGTTCTGTCCTGATACACCTTCCCTGCCCATGACACTTCCTCTGAACAGCTCGTAATAATGTTTGCATGTTTCCACAAGCCCCTGCAGAATTCCTGCCAAATTTGTTCTTTCCCGGGAGACCCATGATGACATTGTTTACCACTGTGGTAAAGTTCTAGTAGGACCTCCTTAAGGCTGTGCCTGAGTGGCTCCTTCCCTGGACTGTCAGGTCAGTCAGTGACCTAAGAGAGATGATAACAAAGACCAGAACTCTTACCTCCTGTTCATTAGGGTTTGTGTGTCTGGGTGTTGGTTGCTTTTCCTAGTCTTTTACGCTGAATGGCTGTTAGCCACATGCCATCACAAACCCGATGACCTTTTATATTCCCTGTTTCTGTGCAATGTTACCATTTTCCAGTACAATAGCACAAACAGCTTGAAGGAAATAAAAGTCCATCCTACCGCTCGAATCCAGTGTGCAGAGACAAGTCAAATAATAAGGTTTGTATGGAGTTTGAATGGGTAATCAGCTTTTTAGTTGCACAAGACCTGCAGGTGTTAAAACAAATGAAATAATTTTATTATCCTGAAGGTCATTGTTGGCGGCTTTTTCTGACAAGAAGACTCAGGAAATAAGATGAGTTTTGAGCTCTTTAAACAAGGTGGGTTACTCTGAAGTTTCAGATGTCTCGCCACTCATTACACTTAAATGTTTCACCAATTTCAGTCTGTCAATGTGATGTAATTTGTGACAATGCATAATCTGACTTGAATTATGGAAATAATTTGATGCAAAAAGTAATTTTTCTAATCTGTAATGGATTAAATATTTTCTTAGTTAATGCTCATAGTACAAAAATTAAGAATTATAGGGTACTAATGGGGTAACAATCCCATTTCAAAAGTTAGACTTTTTAAAATTCAGCTGTGATTGTCTGCCCAAACTTGATAAATTGCCTATGCAACAAGTAACATGTTGCATTGTCTTAAAAAACAATCTATATGAAAAACCTTTAAAAGTCTTCATTAATTTCAATAAATTGATGTTTTTGTCTTCAAACAATACTGTCAATTCATTTGTTGTAATCAATGATCCTAGTGTATCTGAAAATATTCTTATTTTTTCATTTATATATTATATACATGAACAAATGTCTGTGAAGTGCTTACAAATTACTTTCTGATGATCTCTCTTCCACCAACATGTGAAAGGCTTTTAACTCTTATGTCCTGTTTAAAGCTACCAGTATTTATGTTCTGTTGTAGTACTAAAACACATCAGAGAGCAGTGCTACCAAAAGCAGTGAATTAAAAATGTCTACTTGCTGGTTTTTTAGTGATGAGGGAAATTGGCAGTATTGTCTGGCAGTTTTCAGCTGATGATCTAGCACCACTCTCTAAACAGAGTAGTCCCCTCCAGCACTGGGGGGTGGGACCATGCCAGAGCCTTCCCCCACTGGGACTATGGTGGCTGAGGCACATACAAGGAATGAGGAATTAGGTACCTGAGCTGGACAGAACCAGAAGTTTCTCTCATAATTCTCTCATAATTCTCTCTCGGGACCATGCCAGAGCCTTCCCCCACTGGGACTATGGTGGCTGAGGCACATACAAGGAATGAGGAATTAGGTACCTGAGCTGGACAGAACCAGAAGGTAAAAAACTTCTCTCTCTACTGAAAACTTTCCTCAAAATTTAGGATTTTGTAGGAAGAGGGAAGAAAAATTTGCCAAAACCAGCCTATATTTTTCAGCTCCTCTTTCTTTTCTTCCGGTAGAAGTCCGCCTTTCCAGGAAAATGGATTTTCTTTTCAATGAAGAGATCATATAAAAAAAAAAATCTGGCATATTTGGCATGAATGAAAAAAAACGCCCACCGCATTTGACTGTAGCATGAATTAAGTATTTGAGAGATTAAAATTATTGTGAGCAGTCTCTAATATGAAGTGCAGAGTTATAGCCAACGTATCACAGCCGATTTTATTAATCAATTTACATCTTCTAATTGTTGTGTAGCCTTTGTAGTGTGTGTTTCTGTAGGGCTGAGTTTAATTTAGGAGTAGTCCTAGAAGAGATTACATTGTTAGCATAATTTAAAAAATGATAGGGCAATAACTGGATTATTTGAGAATCTCTGATTCTTATTTTTTTCTCAGAATTCTTTTTAAATGGAAGTGAGAAAACTAGTCGCAAGTTTCCAGAGGGAAACTTCAAATATTTATAACATTTTCTTAAATAAAAACTTAAACAGTTAGAGTACTAAATGGATCCTATAAGATACACAAGCTATCCAAATTAAATGTGATATTACTACTGTGGCAAGTTTAATTGTAGCCTGCCTTTTAAAATTTGTTCCATGAGATGCAAAAAGCTAAGTGTTAGGATTTTACAACAATGTGTTTTTACTCCTGTGAGTAAGTGCAGTCTGGAGTGTCTCAGCTCTAGATAACCGAGCTTTACTGCTGCATTTGCCACTACCAGAACTGGAGGCGACCTATTCAAAGTTACCCTATTTTAAAGGACATGGTATAAGAATTCATTCAATGGTGACATGATGAAAGCTGTCCATTTTATTTTTTGCAGCCCTTCAGGACTCTCAAAGAAAAGATCTAATATGGTCTCAGACATGTATGCTGGAATTTAAACTATTTGGGTGATATTTCAGAGCCTGGTTCACGCCCCATGTTGGGCACCAATAAATCTATCAGGCTAGGGCTGGGCTGGCCACTGAATGATGACAAATGCTCTCTAACCCCTGTTCCTCCCCAGACAGAAAGAGAAGGAGAACGAGATGAGGCAGAGAGACAGATTGGAAAAGAAAACTAAATAGCTTTATTGAAAGAATAATAGTACTGATAAGGGAATAATGGTTAAATATATGCATTTATATATACATTTGACTTGCCCCCAGTAGCAATCCCCACTGATGCTGCAGAGCAAGCACTGCTGGGGAAGCCCCAGGCCTCAGCAGCAGAGGGGAGCTGGACACGGGAGCTGTATTTCAGGAACTTGGGATTGAGATCAAAGGCAGAAGAATGAACAGAGTCCTCGTCAGATGCCAACCAAGAAGAGGCCTTAACTCCTGTGATCCCTCAGCTTTATACTGCATATGACATATGTGGAATGGAATACTCTTTTTGGTCACCTGTCCTGCCTGTTCCTCACCGGAGGTGCAACCTTTTACTTCCTTGTGACCTGTTCTACTTCCTAGCACCTCCAGTGTGACACACGAGATCCACCAGTGACCTTGGCCACTCACTATAGGAGTGAGCATAAGCAAGAAGCTTTCTGCATCCCGATCCCTGGCAGTAACTGTGAACATCACAGAATCATTGCTTCTAGTAGCAGGCACTGTCTGCAAAAATATGCTGTTACTGTCAGAAAATGCAGTCTCTCAGAAGAGACTGAGCTGAAATCAGAACAGAATTGGTTCTGTTTAGCTCAAACCAGGACATGTCCCTATGCCTGCTGTGCAATGCATAAGCAGAGTTGTACTCTGTAGAATGACTATCAATAAAATTGTTGACAGCAGAGGTTCCTTCAACACGACTATAAGAAACTCGGCACAGGCTAATTTGTTTGAAATTTTACTCTTTTTTTTTTTCTTTTTTTTTTTTTTATGTTGATGTGAGAGCTCTTGGTACATATATTCCTGAATGGGTCTGAGAGCCTCTGTGAAGAGAGGTGCCTTAAAGAATCTGTAAAAAATCCACCACCCCCAAAGCAAAAAACCCCAAACAACCAAAAATCCAAACAAGCAAACAAATCCCCCAAACCCAAAAACCTGACACAAACATGCTGTTTGTCTTTTAAAATGCAGACATTGATGTTGTGAATGTTAGCCCTCTTGTCAGACCACTTGCTTATGGAGTGAAGAGACTTTATTCTGTGCACTGCTGATCCTAGGTTTGAGTGTGGATCTCACACCCTTCTGAACAGGGTTTTGAGCTTAGACGCAACCGTAGCCATTGGTTTTGTGGATTGTTAGGGACAACAAGCCTATCTACTGAAGGCCATTGAAAACATTTATATTAATTTTTTT